GTGAACCCGGTGCGTGGTAAACTGTGTCATCACTGTCTCCACTAGGTAATCATAAATTAAGCTGTTAGTGATGTCTGAACAATGAGGCTGCCTTTGGTGGTTTGCTCATGTCAGCTTGTATTAATGGAACATCTTTCATACCTCTGGCATTCAGGGAGTAGTTTACAGGAAATTGGCTCACCGAGCCTAAATATAACAAATGTCAGCTTCAAATTCTCTGGTAATTAAGTGTAAATAAAATAAAACATTTTAACTAACAAAGAACAGCCACCTGCTTTTAAGGAAGTCATACCATATAAGCAGAAGCTCTCGAAGTACTATTACGAAACAGTAACTCTAAGATAAGGCCTTGGTCTAAATGAATGAACACAAATTTCACTCACTTTAGTCTGTATAAATGTGTGCCCAGATGAATGCCCATATCTTCATTAGCCTGCATTCCCAGAGGGCTCTGTGTTCAGCCCATTCCTTAATAACTGGGAAACCCACTCGTGTGTTTGCAGACGTTCTTCCACAATGCAAAAAATGCTATGGCTGTCTCTGACCATGCTCAAGTTTAACACCTACCGACCGCTGTTGCCAACTGGTACCCAGAAGCGGAGACCTTCCCCCTGAGGAGAGCAGGATGCCGTCATCTGTGGCTTCACGGCTCCGGGGCCGTGCAGTTGTGCTGACGCCGCGGAGACAGACCCTGTGCTGGCCTCCCTGGGGAAGCGCTCACGTGAGCTCAGGCTTCGTGCTGGCCATGGCTGCTTCCAGCGGTTCACACGTTCCAGTTGCTGGGTTTTACACCTATGGGAGGAAATACGATCCTTACTGGTTAGGCATTAGAAGTGTTTGCTTGCTGAGTTAAGGCAGGATGTCTCTGTGTAATTAAACTCAGCAGACTGACTAGCAGTCTTTCCTATCAAGTCTTTAATTCCACAGGGTGACAGACCATAATGCAGGTCTGGAAGCTTCCTGCCTTGCGATTTAATTTCAGAAACAACCATTTTAATTATTTCTTGAGGTGATGGTTTCTGTCCGGTACCCCATCCAGGTTCACCCCGTCGGTCCCAGGCCACGCAGCCTCCTCCCGCGACTCACGGGCCGGGGCTGCGGCTGGGGCAGAGGGCTGCCCGCCCGGGAGGGCCCCCTCCGCCCCAGCGCCGGCTGCTCTGTCAGCGTGCGGTACCGCTACCGGCACCGAACCAGCCTCCCCGAGGGCACCGGCGCGAGGCCGAACTGCTGCACATCGCGCTCGCATTAGCGAAAGTATCAGTAATTAAAGCCGTGGTCGATGGTTATGCTGGGGTGGGGGCCCGGCTGAGCGCCCCCCGGCCGCACATCGTACCTGGGCCCGGCGTGGCCC